ATCCGAGATTAAGTAATAGGACAAAACTTTTCGACGGTTATAAACGAAAAATCAAGATTTCACGGTTATTTCAACTCTGATTTTGATGATTTTTTACAGCTACACTCCTTGACCCTATATGAATACAATGACTCAATTTCATCTTCAATTTAAAATATTTACACAAGTGGATACCACAAAATCTTATGTTGTATTTAATGAAAGTATAAATAAAAAAGGGTTGTCTATTGTGAAGTAAAGATGACGGTTTTTTTAAAAAAAGGGTCGTCTATTATGAAGTAAAGACGACGGTTTTTTTTTATAAAAAGGGTCGTCTATTATATGTAAAGACGACGGTTTTTTTATAAAAAGGGTCGTCTATTATGAAGTAACGACGACCCTTTTTATATGAAAATGGTCGTCTATTATGAAGTAAAGACGACCCTTTTCATATAAAAAGGGTCGTCTTTACTTCATAATAGACGACCCTTTTCATATAAAAAGGGTCGTCTATTATATGTAAAGACGACGGTTTTTTTTATAAAAGGGTCGTCTATTATATGTAAAGAGGACGGTTTTTTTTATAAAAGGGTCGTCTATTATGAAGTAAAGACGACCCTTTTTATATGAAAAGGGTCGTCTATTATGAAGTTAAGATGACGGTTTTTTTTTAAAAGCGTCGTCTTTTAAAACACGCTAAAAAATGACCTCTTAAGTGAATTCGCGCTCAACAAATTTTCAAATTTTCACCCGTCTTTGTAAACCTTATCTCTCATTAACAAGCGTCGTCTTTTAAAACACGCTAAAAAAAGGCTACTTAAGTGAATTCACGCTCGACAAATTTTCAGATTTTCCCCCGTCTCTGAAAACCTTATCTCTCCCTCCTTGAAACCCTCCTGCACTCTCTAAAACACCCTCATGAAACTCTCTACAAAATCATCAAAAAATCGATATCAATGAAGGAGTTGAGAGATTGAGGTCTTCGCAGATCCATAAGATGTAGAGGGAGGTTCTGTATTTGAGAATCAAAGCTAGTTGAAAGGTTTGATTTGAAAG